CCCTGAAAAAATGGACAGAGGCCGGCGTGGTGGTGTCAGGCGTCTTCAGGATAGTGATGGGGGGAGTGTCTGACAGCTGGCCCCGTCAGGGGACAGCACTGTTTGGGCTTTCGGCACAGCACTGCGCAGGCCTGTGGCCGCTGGCTCGCGCACCCTGTATTTCAATTCTATCGCGGCTCGTGCAGCTGCCCACCTGGATCATGAAGTTCTCAATGATGCGGTGGAACTTGGTGCCCTTGTAGCTGACGCCGTCGGGTGTGTGGCCCAGCGCAATCATCGCGAAGTTCTCGGTGGTGGAGGGAGCCATCTTGCCGTAGCTGCACAGGTGTGTGTGTGTTGTGAGTATGCGTGTGTGGGTGTGTGTTATAAGTGAGTGAGTGCGCGAGTGCGTGTGTGGGGGGGAAGGGAGTGTGCGCGTGCCCATGAGCGCATACGCGTACAATTGATGAGGCACGAGTGCAGGTGGTGCAAGCACACCTTGTGAACCAAATGCTGGGCAATGCCCCACAATTTGGGGAGGCACCAATACATCTGTGCAAAACTAAAACGGCCAGCATGCAATGCAAGAAGGGCCACAGGACGCTCACAGGCCAATGAGGATGCGTCCGAGGTCGACGCCGCTCTGCTCAAGGTCGAGGTAGACGTACTTGGTGATCTCAGGGTCCGAGGAAGGCGCCTTGCCAGCCTCGGGCGCCGCCTTGGCAGGCGCGGGGGCCGGCGCGGGCGCAGGCACGGGCGCGGGCGCGGGGGCCGGCGCGGGCGCGGGCACGGGCGCCGCCTGGGCCGGCGTCGACGCGGCCTTGACGGTCGTCCTGGACGGGAGGGCGCCGGTGTTGGTGAGGCGGATCTCCCCGGCGTCCTTGATGATGACGGGCAGGGTGGGGCGGTCCTTGGCGTCAACCGCGACGTGGCTGACGGCGTCGATGATGTCCATGCCGTCCACGACATGGCCAAACACCTGGTGCTTGCCGTCCAACCAGGGTGTCGGCTGCGGGGCGGGCAGGGCAGGCGGGGCGGGGGAAGAGGGTGCGGCGCAGCGCAGCACCCAGATCAGAAAGACTAGGGGGGCTGCGGTCAGGCAGGGTTGCAAGCCTGAATGCTGCTGAGGTCTTTGGGGGGCGGCGAACGGCCGACCAGCGCGCCCAGGTGCGCTCACCACGACGGTGATGAAGAACTGGCAGCCGTTGGTGTCCTTGCCCGAGTTGGCCAGTGACAGCGCGCCCTTGTCGTGCTTCGCGAGGCCCAGGTTCTCGTCAGCAAAGCTCCCGCCCTTGCCGTCCCAGATGGTGAAGGACCCGGTGCCGTCGCCCTTGACGATGTCCCCACCCTGCCAGCCGCACGGGTTGATGGGCGCAGGCGCACCCCGGCCGCGAGTCCAAGGTTGGATGGTGCGGCGAGGGAGCGGCTGCGCGGCGCAAGCCATACAGCATGGTGCCATGCAGGACATTCGACGCGCCATGGTGGTGCATGGACGCCGTCGCATGGCCAAGGCGGGGCACACCAGTGTCACTCCGGACAAAAAGGTTGAGGTCTCACCTGCACCATGAAGTTCTCAATGACGCGGTGGAACTGGGAGCCCTTGTAGCTGAGGCCGCCGGCCGTCTGGCCCAGGGCGATGTCTGCAAAGTTCTCGACGGCGCCGGGGGCGCCGTCGCCATAGCTGCGGGCGGGTGCAGGAGGGCGGGTCGGGACGCAGTGTCGGCGGGGGTGGATGCGCTCGCCCAGGCGCTTCATCGCTGACCGTACAGCTGCTGCTTGGCTGCCCGATTCCGCGGAACCCACCCAGCCCATGTGGGGATGCTGCTGGGGCTGTGAGCGACAGGCAGTGCCGCAGCATCACGCGACTCGCGTCCGCAGACTCACAGGCCAAACGTGACGCGGCCGATGTCGATGTTGTTCTGCTCGAGGTCAAACCAGATGAACCGTGTGTAAGCGGGGCCGCCCGCGGGCGCCTTAATCGGAGCCGACTCAAGCTTCAGGCCGGGCGTCTGCAGCTGCTCCGCCGCCTTGGCCGCAGCCGCCTTGGCCGCCGCAGCCTTAGCCGCAGCCGCCTTGTCTGCCGCTGCCTTGGCCGCGGCCGCCTTGGCAGCGGCAGCCTTGGCTGCGTCGGCGTTGGTCGCCGCTGCCCCTGCGTGCGCCGCCCCCGTGTGCGCGGCCGCGTTGCCGGCCTTGGACGCCGCGGAGGTGGAGGCGGCCTTGATGGGCGCGGAGGCCGCGGCCGCCTTGATGGTCGGGACCACGGGGATCTCGCCGACCGCTTTGATGGTGACGGGCAGGGTGGGGTGCGACTGCGCGTCGACCTCGATGTGGCTGATGGCATCCACCAGGTCGAGGCCGTCCAGCACCTTGCCAAACACCTGGTGCTTGCCGTCCAGCCACGGAGTGGCCTGGCGGGCAGAAGAGCGGGC